CAACAAGATAAGGTGCCCACAGTCAGAGGCTGCTCTGAGATGAGTTGAGAAAATCCCCTGGGGCAGGACATGGCAGCCCATTCCTGGAGAGTCCCGTGGACAGAGGAGCCTGGAGGGCTACAGTCCACGGGGTCACAAAGAGTTGGACACGACTGAGCGACTTCGCACACACTCCAGTTCACAGACTGAAGCGACTTCGCACACACTCCAGTTCACAGACCGCATATTGCTCAGGGCTTAATAGGAACAGGAAGTGAAGACAATGATAAGGAAGCAAGTCTGGGGAACACCTCCCAGAATGGAGAGTAAAAGGAAGACGTGGGAAAGCTCAGAAAACATGAACGATGTTGACGACACATTCTGTGACTCCAGCACCAGGAAACGGAGGCACTGGGGAGCAGCCCAATCAGATGCCACGGGTGCCAGGCCCCAGCACATCACAGCAGGAAATGCCTAAACTCCGCAAGTCATGAGGTGTCTTTCCAAGCAGACAATGCAAACACGTGGATATATCTCTGAGAAAGGATTCCATTTTAGGAACCAGTAAAAAATAACCATACTGTGCATCCGACTAGACATGTTAATAAAAGGGAAATAGAAATGTGAGCGTAAACAGAGATACGCCCAGGTCAGAGCAGCACTACGGATAACAGCTAAATGATGGCCCTGACGTGAAATAAATCTATAGGCTGAGTTTCCCTATTAAACACTCAACGCTGCAGCCTAATTCAGAAAAAGAAGAATCAAAAGTCAAAGAAAGAGGTGGTGGCAATAAACAAAGGGAAAATAAAAGGGACAGTGAGATACATTTTTGTAGAATCAGTGCAATGTAGTTCTAAAATGAGAGTTTATTAGGGCACCATAAGCAAGTAGACTGAATCGGAAAGGGGTAAATCATCTAGATCCGTCATCTCACAGGTTCACCTTTCTGAACCTCCGCTGCCCCCCGGGGTGACCTGAGGGCCGTCCCCCACACGGTAGCCGGCACTGTCCGTTCAGCTTGGGTCACGCTGACCCATGGCCAGGCCCCTCAGTGGCTGCTGCGTCACCCAGATTGCATCCCCGTCTTCACTGAGGCCAGGAGTGAAGACGCCCGCAAAGCCGCCCGCACTGCCCTTTCTCTCACCCCATCCCCCTCCATCTCCCCCGGCTCAGCCATCAGCAGTCACCTGGCCTCCTTGCTGTGTTCCCATCTCATCCACCACCTGCCTGCCCCAGGACCTTTGCACAGGCTGGGGCCTGACCAGGAAAATACACTGGGCTTTCTCTCCTGTTTGTTAGGACTGTGATAAACCGTCACCTTCCGAGTGAATCCAATACAGCACCCCTGTCACTGACCCTGTGTCTCCATTAACCTCCTTTCATCATCTGAAAGAGACTAAGATTGGGCTTCCCTGGTGGCTCAGTGATAAAAAATCCACCTGCATTCCAGGAGCTGCAGGAGATGAGGGTTCAAACCCTGGGTCGGGAAGATCCCCGGGAGGAGGAAATGGCAACGCACTCCAGTATTCTTTCCTGGGAAATGCCATGGACAGAGGAGCCGGGTGGGCTGTTATCTTTGGGATCACACAGAGTCAGACACAACTGAAGTGATTTAGCATGCACACACACAGAGACTGATTCGTTTTTCGCCTTTAAATCAATATCCCCTTCTCCCACTTCTCTCTCTCTGTCTCTCTGTCTCTCTCTCTCTCTCACACACACACACATACACACACACACACACACACACACACACACACACACACACACAGTTGGCACAGGTATTTCCATACATAAAAGAAGAAATTCCATCTTGCCAGGACCCCACCTGCTGGGTTCTACTTCAGCATCAGAAGAGGAGGCATGACCACCCTCACTGTGGACCAGCGCAGGATGCACCCCAGGCACCCACCTCCAACAGGCTCCCCAATTTCAGAGTCAATCATGTCCACACGCAATGCATTTCATTATGAGGAGCATCCCCTTGACTTTACTGTGGGCCCCGGGACAGAGCAGGAAGGGAGGACAGCCACAAGGTTCACTTTCGTCCATCCGACCACTCATTTAGGTTCCTTTAGTCTGTGGCTTCTGAGCACCTAGAACCCGCCCAGCGGTCTCCTGGGACCTGGGGCTCGGCAAGGAGGGAGGGGTCAAGACAGATCAGCTTCCTGAGAGTTTCCGGCAGAACCGACATTTGAGGGGCCAACAGCTCATGAACGAGGGACCCTGGATGACGATGATGGTGAGAGATGCTGTGAGGTGAGGGGCAGGAGGATGCTTTAGGCACCAGGGCAGGGGAGGGCCAGGAGGGAGATCGGGGAGGGGTGGAGACGGGCGCTCAGAGCCAAGGAGAGGACCCAGCCCGAGGAGACGGTCAGAGGGCACTCAGTGGGCAGGGAGTGGACGGAGCGCTGCAGACAGAGGAACCGTCAATAAGAGCAAAGGTCCGGAGATGGGGAAGCGGCTGAGTAGAGGCACAGGTGGACCCCAAGTCCCCAGGGTGGGAGGGGGCTGCCGTCCAGCCTCTGGGCCCCGGGTGCTGGCCTCCCGATTCCGGCTCCCCCAGGCTGTGGCTCTGCAGCTGGTGCGGGGCTGCGTGTGAACGCAGAGGCAGAGCCAGGCCGGGAACTCGCGGAATCCGGGACCCCACCGCTCAGAACCAGGCGCGTGGGCACCAGCGTTCAGGGGACAGACGTGGGCGAACACAGAACTCGGCCTGGGAGGTGGGCGCGGCGAGCTGCTGCGTCTCTCCAGGCAGACCCTGCGTGTCCTGTCGCTGGAGGAGCGCCTGCCCTGCCCCCTCCGCAGGCGAGGACCAGGGGCACGCGGGCGCCCCGACCTTCCCGAGGAACCTGCGTGTGAGATGCCGGACGCGGGCGAAGCCAGTTCACAGGCGGGAAATGCTCACCCCCATCCCCGACAACTCGTACCCGAGCTGACTGGAGGAAGCTTCTAGAAGGTTCCCCCACCCCGTTGTGAGACCTGGCCTCCAGCCCGGGTGCCAGCCTCTGCCATTAACCTTCAAGGCCCCTCAATTAGCAGCGGCGAGGGGTCCCTGGCAGGTGTCAGGATTTAGAGGGACGGACTCGGGGCTGCTTTAAAAGGGTCTAAGTGTTCTGCTGGAGGGAAGCCCAGGAGGCATCGATCCGCTGCAGGTGGGGGCCCCCGCGAGAGGCTCCCTCCCCAGACCCCACCCTCCCTCGGGAGAAGGTCTGCCGGGGGCCACGGGGACGCGGAGGCCCCGTCACTCTGTCTCACCGCCTCTGCGCACCACTCCTTGCAGATGGATGGAGCCCCGCCACTGAGTGACAGCCAACTCTGGGCCTGAAGGGAGGGGCTCTGCGGACTCCTGACCACCACAGAGGTGTGCAAGCAGTGAACCTGAGTCAGGTGGTTCCTGGGAAAGGAGAGCAGCCCGTCATCATCTGCTGCGTGCACATGGACCAGAGCCTCCCCTGCGGACCCACAGTGGGACGCCCCAGGCCCCAGATCTGCCCCTGAAGAGTCCCGTGGGCTCTGACCACTGCCGGCTTCCCCGGGACTCAGCGTCCCCATCCGACAGTGCAGATAACAGAGCCACTCGAGGACCGCTTGTTGAGGCCCCAGTGGAATGATCTGAGCACTGCAGTCTGTAAGGCCTCCCCGACCCCAGGTGGTGAATCTAGGAAGAACTTGGAGGGCAAGAGTGGGTTTGCCGTCAGAAGGGAAAGGCCGTTGAGTGGACGCTTGGCTGGATTCTCCCTGAGATGCTTCAGGCCGTGACCCCTCGGACCTCAGCTCCTGCTCTACGTGCGGTCTTCCCTGAAGAGGAATCCTCTTGGCGCTGGCCCTGGGGGATGGGAAGACCCTGGTGCAGGAGGACACGGGGCCCCAGGTCTATGGGGGTGAACTCCCTTCGGGCTCCCGCGGGTCGGACTTCATGCCTTTGTGGGCTCCAAACCCAGGATGGTGGCTTCCACCTCCGTGCCCCTGCTTCTACGCCCTTCTCCACAGTGTCAGAAGTTCCCTTCGTTAGAAGCCTATCTCAATTTCTGAAAGCCAGTCTCCAGAAAAAGGAACAGGCTCCTTGGAGCAATGGCAGATTCGCGGGCTTGTGGTGGGGAGGGAATACACATGGTGAGTCTAAAGCACCTTGTAACACCCCTAAAGTAAGACGTGCTCACGTCACCCCTGTGATGGGCTCCGTGTCAACTGAAAAAGTTCCTGAAGGTTGAAGCTGAGACACTGACCAATGAAATAAAGTGGAATTGTGCTATAATCCAGAGGATGAAATAAACACCGTGAGTGTGGATGATGTTGGTACATGACTGACTACATAAGTCGCTGGGGGTGAAGAGACAAATCACTCTTGCAGAAGAATTGTTTACGGGGACACAGAAAGGGTGAGGGGAGAGGGACTTCACAGTGGGGAAGCAGCGAAGGGAAGCCCCCCCGGCCACAGCTAGAGAAAGCCCGTGTGCAGCAACAAAGACCCAGCCCAGCCAAGAATAAAAATAATAAATAAATAAAAAACAGAATCTACTTTTAAAAACCACTCTATTGTTAGTAGTGTCCTTTCACTAAAAAATGTAGAAATTGTAGAAATTTGTAAAATTTATAAAAAGTAAAATGCACAACTGTAGGAAAAAAGCCGGATCTTCCTGCTGCGAAAACCTGACCGTGTTGTCCCCCTCTGCTGAGGGTCCCCTCCCTGCCAGGGACCCGGAGGGAAGGCCCTGTGGTGAGCATCCCGACCAGTGTGTGTGTTCCAGAAAGCCCTGCCTCGCTGCCCTTGAGGGAAGCATCAGCCTGGGAGATAGTGACCCGCAGATGGACTCGTTTTATTGCCCTGAAGACCCAGCCGCCTCTAGGCGCCTACGGTGAGCTCCTTCTGCCCGGGCAAGGAAAACTGCAGGTAAAGCGCTATGCTCAGTGCCTGGGCCCACTCGGGCACCCACACTCCGACCTTCCCTGCGGGCCCCACGGCCCGGGTCACGGTGGACGTGGGCAAGCCGCTGCAGACAGAAAGCCCAACTGCGTCACCAAGGAGACGCTAAAGCTCTCGGATTCTGGGCCACCTCTGCCTGCGCAGATATCCGAGCTGTGAAGGGGACCCAGGAGCGTGTTCTGTGGACGGATGTGAGCAGAGACGTCATCTTTGACCCTCCAGGAAGGTCCGAGTCGCCTTTGCAGGGAGGGCCGGGCGGCGGCAGGGCTTGGAGCTGAGGACGCAGGGACGAGCAGCTGGACTGGAGGCCCCCCTGTGGCCCCTCCCCGGAGCTGGACTCGAGGGCCCCAGCCGCGAAGACGGGAAGCGGACACCACAGCAGGGCCCGCCCCAGCACGGGTGGCTGGCCTTCGAAGCCACCCCCTCCGCCCCCGGCCCCGCTCGGGCAGCACACCCTTAGCAGGAGAGCAGGGGACAGAGGGGGTCCGGGAGCCCGAGGGGCGGGGAGAGCTGGCCACGCCCACCGCGCCCGGCGCAGGGGCTTGACCCAGGGCAGCCCACCCAGAGGTGGGGGACACCCCCGCTTTCAATCACATTTTAAGTCATTATCACACGGGACCGAGCGTGCTAGTAATTGACTTCCATAGCTTTTATTCCCTGGAGAAGGAAATGGCAGCCCACTCCAGTACTCTTGCCTGGACAACCCCACGGACAGAGAAGTCTCACAGGCTACAGACCAAGGGGTCGCACGAGTCGGACACGACTGAGCAACTAAGCCACCATCACCACCATAGCTTTCATTACCTGAGAGGACAAGGAACTCCGCTGTCCTTCTGGCATTTTCACCCGGGGCTGGGGACCCCACAGGCTGAACTTAAAGGTCAGAGAGAAAAGAAGGGGCTCCTGCTGCGTCACGACGTCCTTTGACCAAGCGTCCACCTGACGGTTCTCTGTGACACATGTGCGCAGACCGTATGTTACCAAAAAAACCATGAAACCGAAGTGTACACAGAGCTCTGGGACGTGGTCATACGGTGGGAGGTTTTTAACCTAACTTCTGATCACAGGCCTCTCAGCTGCTTCCCTGTTTTTACTGAACAGGGAAGTTGCTGGGAAGAGCTTTCCCAGTCTCCTCTCCAGCTGCCGCCAGGAGGAGAAATGCTCCTGAAAGGGGCGTCCCGCCCTCCTGCAACAGGTGCTCGGCTGGGGGCTGAAGACCCTCCCCTCCAGCTTGCGCCCGGATCTTTCCTGGCCAGCCCCGGTCCGGGTGGTGCCTCGTCCTCCGGCCTGCCTCCTCCACGGCCCACGGTCTTCCTGGCTCTGACAGCATCAGCCTACGAGCCCTCGGCTCCCAGCCTTCTGGGGCTTCAGCATGCAGCTTGTGTGCTCCCAGGGGAAATAAGGCCGGGATGGAGCCGGTTCTCTCCCCGACTCTTAAGTGACATTGCTCCACGAGGAAATAACGCTCCGCGTTCTGATGTCCCCAGGAAACGCCTCCCCCGAGAGCTCGGCAGTGTCTGCACGGCCCCTGGAGGGCCAGCAAATGAACAGGCGGTGGTAATGACCCTCCCTGGGCCCTGGGCAATTACACACAGTATTGGCCTCTTCATTACGTCTGCACTCATCACATCGTGACTGGCGTTATAAACCAACACTTAAACTCTCAGAGAACGAACCTCAGCAAACTCGTACGAACGCCTATTTGGCCCAAACATTGAGTGTATTACACGCATTAGACATCATCCCAGGCCCTGGAGAAATGGTGGTGAATAAAAGACCTTGGGATACAACTCAGTGATCAACAAGTCAGACAGAACTCTGTGAGCCAGGAGAAGCAAAGCAAGTGTGTTTGGAGAGGCAGGACCAGTGGGGACACAGTTCAGAGGGGAGCACGGGGTCACGGGGGCGTCCCAGGTGGTCCTGGCTCCGGTCAGGAATCTGCCCGCCGATGCAGGAGATGCGGGACACGCGGGTTCAGTCCCTGTGTCGGGAAGATGCCCCAGAGCGGGAAATGGCAACCGACTCCAGTATTCTTGCCTGGAACATCCCATGGACAGAGAGGCCTGGTGGGCTACAGTCCATGAGGTCGCAAAGGGTCGGACACGGCTGAGCACACAGACACGCACGGCGTCAGGGCTTGCTCTGCGGCAGGACACCCTTCAAGCTGAGACCCGGATGGTGACTGTGGGTCAGTCAGGGCACTAAGAGGTGGGTGAGCCGCAGGCACTAGGGAAAAGGCCAGGGGAAGAAAGCGCTTATGGTTTGTGGGAACAAAAGGAGACCAACGGACAAGATGTTCATGGAGAAGCAGAGGCTGAGGGGCAGGTGTGGTGGCTGAATCCCGTCCCCTAAAGGTGCTGAGTTTGCGACGCCCGTGCCAGCGAGTACGACCTCACTGGGAAACAGGGTCTTTGCAGATGGTCAAGTCAAGGTGAGGTCTTTAGCGGGGACCCCAATCCAGTAAGACTGGTGTTCTTATAAGTAGAGGGAAATTTGGACCCTGAGACAGACTTGCGCTGAGGGAAGACGGCATGAAGCCAGGGGAGAGGACGGCCACCTACACGCCAAAGGCAGGCCTGGAACAGACCCTCCCCTGGAGCGCTCGGGAGGAGCCAACCTCTACCTTCAGACTTCCATCCTCAGAGGGTGACACAGTGAATGCCTGTTCTCCAAGCCAGGCCTTCTTAACACCGAGCAGGACCCCGAGGGGCCTTCCTGACAACAGACCCCTCCCTCCATGCCCCCCACCTCTCATTTGTAGGGAAGTTTCAGCCTACAGGGCCTTCCCCAAGTTCCAAAGAGCAGATTTAATCAGAGGAGTGAGAAAATGCTTAAACAAAGGAAGACAGTCAAGCAAAACAAAATAATAGCAGTTTAGCCATAAAACCAAGCCAAGGACCTTTAGTTCCTCCTCAAGGGCCGCAGATAATATCCCGAGCCGTGTCCCTGAGCTGTTTGGCAGATACTGAAACCCCCTCTAGGTGGAGAAGTTAACTGCACGCTGCTCACCAGCACGTAGACCCCAGACCTGGTGGAACCAGCAGGCTGATGCCCGAGATTCCTGAGACATCACCAGTTACCTCCCCGCCATCTAATCAGAGCACTGTCCAGGAGCTGACCCTCCCCTTCACCTGGTCTTTAAAGGCTCTTCCCTGAAAGCCACGGGGAGTCTGGGTCTTTTGAGCACGGGCTGCGCCTCGGTGTCAATAGACTGGCTCTGCTGTGTGTTGGGCAAGTGCACGGGAGTTTGGTTCAGTAACAGTTTAGTATTTTCATGGCAGGTGAAACATGACTACCGCTGGTGAAACCTAGTTAAGTGCGGCCTTTCTGCCAATGTCAGAGTTTTACACTGAACCCCCAGGTAGGAAGGCTGCGTGGATGCCAAGTAGAGGGAAGAAGGGGGTGAAGTGAGATGATCAGATTCAGGTTTAAGACGATGCCCTGGTGGAGGTACCACCCAGACCAAGGGTCGGTGACCATGATGGGACACACACGGTCATCTTCTAGAGCAAGAATCTGCCACTGTCCCTAAAATGCACCTCCCCACCCAGAGCAGAACATAAATACAGGCAGCCATGAGAGGAAACAGAGAAATGTGACTCTCAGATAACAGGAAAGCCATCAGGAGAAGCCAGTGCCGGGGAATCCCGAGGTACGGACAGCAAACAAGAGCTTTTCAACAAGCAAGGAGATGAACCCGGCTACGCTTAAAACTTCTTCAAAGTGTGCCCATCCGAGAGTGAAGTCAGCGCGCAGGTCTTGGCTTCTGGTCATCACATCATCGTAGAGAACGTGGTCTTTCCTCGTAAAGAGCCGCAGAGCAGGTTAGAGACCCTGGGCAGAGGCAGAGCAGGGCTGCGTCCTGGGAGCAGACACAGCAGGTGAGCACACGTTACCCCGGCTTCCTGCGCGTGGCCAGCTTCCGGGCAGTAGCGGCGAGCCGCTGTCTGAGCGCAGCATGGGCTGCCCGAGGTGAGGCAAAGGCCGGGAGGGTCTGAGAAGGGGGCCCTCCGCCAACAGCAGGGCTCAGAAGCCAGGGTGAGGGTCAGGCTTGACAGAGGGCTGTTGCGGACCAAGAGGTGACCAGGACCTGCCCTGCAGAAGTAACCTGGTGTTCTCCAGACCAGTGGAGGTCCAGACGCCTCCTGGAGCGTCCTGGGTATCTGGTTGAGAACTCAGGAAGATCTGAGCCAGGAGTAAGACTAATAATATAGGAAGGAACCACACACTCAGACTCGAACCGAAGTTCACTTGTCATAACAACATAAAAGAAATCCTGACAAAATAAAGTAAACCTGCCTTTTAGGAAAACAAACAAAAACGCAACAACCTTTTAAGGAAGGGAGTATAATCTACTCTCCCTAACATGTATCACCACAATGTCCAGAGAATACTGAAAATATTATCAGCCATCAGAAGAGATGGAAAAGAATGCCCCTCGGGTAATAGAAAAAGCATCGGGAGAAACTGATGCGAGTGAGTTAGATGTTGAGATAGTAAACAGGGCTTTTAAACAGCTATTTTCAATATGAACAGTGATTTAAAGTGAAGGATGGCTGTGGTGAATGAACGAATAGTGATCTCAACAGAGAAATAGATACTATAAAAATAACCATATAGAAATTCCATAACCGAAAAGAACGATATATGAATTTTTAAAATTCACTTTAGAGGGATTAAGAGAGATTGCATATTGCAGAAGGAAGTGTGAACCTGAAGACAGAGAAATGAAAATTGCCTTATTTGAAGAACAAAAAAAGTATGTTAGCTACATACAAAGGACCCACTATTCGACTTTCCATCAGAAACCCTGGAGACCAGGAAAAAGCTAAGCAGTGTCTTTTAAGTATGAAAAAAGACAACCTCTTAAACCAGAATTACAGACCCAGCACAGTATAATTCAAAACAAATGTGAAAGAAATAAAGACAATTTTTCATAGAAGAAAGGTGAGTGAATTAGTCACCAATGAACCAAAAGTTCAAGAAATGCCAACAGAAGTTCTTCAGGCAGAAGATAATGATATAGAATGAAAACCCAGGTTTGCAGAGAAGATTGAAATGCACTGGGTGAGTGACTCTTAAGATAAGTTATATTGTGATAACACTGTGCTGTGGAATGGACAATATATCAAGATACAAAATATATAAGAACAATAGTGCAAAGTACAGTAGGAGACTAAGAATGATACTGCTAGAGGTTCTTACATTTTTGATGAAATCACTTAATATTAACCCCAAGAGACTCTGATAAGATAAGGATCATATTGTAATACCCAAGCACTTAAAACACAAACATACCACATATGCAAATACACACATACATGAAAAACTAAAATACTGGTCAAGGAACCCCAAGAGACTCTGATAAGATAAGGATCATATTGTAATACCCAAGCACTTAAAACACAAACACACCACATATGCAAATACACACATGCATGAAAAACTAAAATAC